GTTTAGAAATTAATACCTTCAAGATAGTGTTCTTCACCTTTCTAGACAATATTAATTTTCTATCCTGCATTTCATCTATACCAGCATGTATTATAATTTGTCATTTTTCCTTCTAAACTCTGATCTCATAAATTAACAGTGTTCCCTACCGTCTCAACTTTTCTATCCCCAGGACTCAGCACAGTGCCTGTGATATGGGTTTTGTACCCATGTTAGTGTTATGGTTGAGGTTTAGGTGGTGAGACATGTAGCAAACATAATTTAAAACACGAGCTCCAGGGCCAGATGGCCTGAATATTTAGCTTCTGTCACTTATAAGATACACTATCTGGGTAAGTTAGTCTTTGTTTCTGACCTCAATCTTTTTTCTTAAAATGAGGATGATATTAGGCCCAACATAATAGTGGAATTAGTAAAATTAAGCAAACCATTAAATGTATGGAGAATGGTGTCAAACAAGTACCATTTATCATACACATTATCTTTTATAATTGTTATATTGATAATTAATATATTGAGCTCCAAATTCTTAATAAATTTTGATTGTATATTTAAAACAAGAAAATTACTCAGGGATTTTGGGAGGAGATTATCATGCAGGATTTCTTAAGAACTCTTCTTATACTCATTACCATTTTTTATATCATTTATATTGCTTGGAGGAAGGGTAATTGTACAAAAGTTCAGTTCATGAAATCAGAATAAAAAGAAAATTAGGAAGCTGGGAGCAAGCCCAGAGAGAAGAGAATTAATGTTAAATATAGAAATCTTATAAGCAGAGAAGAGAAATTTTCTGTTTAATATTCTTGACGATAGTGTATTGCTGGGTGTAGTCAACATAATATTAACACAGTTTTGGAGTTTTTTGGAAAAGTCAATGGTAATGAGCTCTACAGAGTGTCTGTTTCTCTGTTTATACATTCAGCAGTTGTCCTTTGTCTTTTTATGCTGATATTTGAATTTGAACGTGCCATTCATAAATGTGCTTCATGCTATGAGGCATGAGCCAAACAATGTATGATGCAGGGTGAAAATCCAAGTGCAAGGCTTTGCAGGACTGTGCTTGCTTTTGGTTTTGTTTTGTTTTTTTGTTTGTTTGTTTGTTTTTTTTTTTGGTTTTTCTCCGGTACCGGGAACCAAACTCACGACCTTGCGCTTGCCAGGCAGGCGCTTTTGCTAAATCCCCAGCCCCCTGCTTGTGGTTTTGCATGCAGACCTTCAGTACCCAACATCGGAAGAGTTCACATGCTCCCCTCTCTTCTCCGTATCTTCTGGATGTTTTGAATTCTTTCATACATTCTCTGAGGTCATGTGCTAGGAAATCGCTGCTCAACACCACCTCTTTCACGATTCTCAGATCTTCAGCCACACTTATTTTTCAGGGGACATCCCTCTGACATTACCTCACTGCTTCATTGGCCCTTTCCCAAGTGAAATTGTGAGGTTCTCATGTCGGACAAATTATTTGATTATAATTCACATTTAATATTTTCATTCTTTGTTTAATGTCTTTAAGGTTAGCCCTATCCTAACATCTTCAGCACTTTATCCTCAGTGCCTGTTTATTATATAATAAGTGCTCCTCAACCTGCAAAATTGTTGATTGACTTGCATAATTTATATATTTGCCAAAAGCCCATAGTGGTTAACTGTTTTTAAAATGTTCAAGGATACAGTGTGAAAAAAGGGAAAGAGAGAAAATTGGTCATCTCAGATAAACTGTAATCTGTGGTAGGATTCTAGGTTTGTCAATAAATAGACAGGTAAGATCACAAAAATGAAGCTGTTTCCTGACACCTTGTGTAATACAATTGTGTTATGTTTACAATTGTCAAAAATTAAGTTAGAATTGAACACAGCAAAGTAGCTATAAAATGTATATTGACTAAGGGATTTTTTGAAAGGAGACTAAACTCTAAGAATAATCATTTTATATATATTGAGATGCTATTGAAATAAGCAACTTTTAAACTGACCTTCTAGAGAGACAAAGAATATGACATAAATCAAATTTCAGAAAATCAATTTCTATGAAGAGTATGAATAATAATGTACAGTGAGACACTTTTCCTTCTAATGATCTTATTTAATTCAGTGATAGAACTTCAAAATAGTGGATAGATAGCTAAAATGCCCATTAACCTGTCTCAATCAAATATCAGATGTTTTAAATTAATCTTTAGTAGATATTGAATCAAAGCCAAATTATAAATGAATTTTATTTCAGATGTGTGCAGTACTTTTTGTAGCATAAAAAGATGTTCTTTAGAATGTCAGATAGGTGAAGGAATGACTTTGGTGTTCCACTGTGCTAGCTAAATGTAATATATTCGTTACATTTTTACAAAGCCAATATTAAACCTGAAAAGGGTTTACAATTTCTAAATGAATTGTATATTTTATAAAATTTGTTTCTCCAGAACTTTTATTCATAATTTCTGATACATTGACAATAACCTTGGATGAACATTGTCTTAGTTACTTTTCTGATTTCAGGGACAAAACAGCTGACACTCAAAGTTGAAGGACAAAAGGCTTTTCTTGGCTAAGAGTTGGTAGAGGAGTGTGTCCGTAGTCAGCTGGTTCCAAACCAGGGTAGCACAGAAAAGGGGCATTACACAGCAGAAGCAGTTCACGGTGTGCCAAGTAGAAAGTAGCGAGAAGCAGCAGCAGCAGAAACAAGACTGCCTTTTCCATTTATCCTATCCAGGCTACAAATTCAGGGCAGGACTTCTGTTTTTAGTAAATCAACTCAGCTAAACCCAGAACTATAATTCCAATCAGTGGACTAATTTGGAACCAGAAACCCTTAATCCCAGCTTCACACACTTTACATCCAGCCAGCCCCAAAAAGCCCCACCTACTGGCACAGGAGGTTTTGGGGGACATCTAGATACAAGTCATAGCAAACATTTTTCTTATGGCATGCAGATTGCGTGTAAACCGATTGTTTTCTCCAGTCTGTATCAGTATCTGAGGTTTTACTTCCTCAATAAAAGATCGTATGTCACACATCTGTGTTGAAAAATGTTGTGACAATAAAAGTTGACTAATTTTCTAAAATTCAAATAAATAAACTAAATTCAAATAAATTTCAATACTTGTGTGGGCAATCTGTCTTAAATCTTAGTGTATGTTTATTATCAAATTATTATTATTATCAAATTATTCAAACTCTAATCTACAATAAATAATACTAGGAGAACATAGTGTTTTTCAAGGGAGAAACATCTTCAATTTAAAATGTTTTCAATACTAGGAATGAACAATGTATTACTTTATGAAAAATACAGAATTTGCTTTGCACTATTCATAATATATTAGTTGCTGTATTTTAAGAATGCTAAATGCAAAGTTTTAATTCGTCCTAAATAATAACTGAAAGATTTTATTTGCTTTATTGTCATATATGTAAAAATTACTATAATTTTATTTGCCAGTGGTAAAGCAAAGCAATGGAACGATGCAGAGGCAGAGGCCAGGGGCCACATACACTACCCTCCAGGAAGTATCCAGGAACACCTATGCTTAACTAATTCAAGCTCCCAAGCAAATCAAGTTATTAATCTTACCCATACAGGGAGCATACTATACCTTTTGTGCATAAATGCTCATCTAAGTTTTTTATGGGAAAAATAAACTAAAATTTTATAACAAACTAATAGGAGAATTACAATACTTAATATCTTATGTATCATTATCTTCAAAGTAGTTACTCAGACTACTATATATGGGCATAAAAAATTCTCCAAACAATATTAGGACAAACTTTCCTTTTCAATGAACTAACAGAAACTACTAGTATAGCTAACATATATTTTTTCCTTTCTCTGAGTACCTGAAGAAGATATAAGGTTATATAATAACTAAATTCATAAATGAAATTAAGAAAACTATAGCAATATGGTGTCCCAATCAAATTTATGTCTGAAAAGTAGTTTTCAAACAGTCTTCTGCTATGTATAAAATAATTTGATAATAGATATACACTAAGATTTTATGACACATTGACCACACATGTATTAAAATTTATTTGTTTATTTTATTTATTTAAATTTAGAAATTAATCAACTGTTTTATTATTACAACATTTTTCAACACAGATGTGTGACATACAATCTTTTATTGAGGAATTAAAATCTCAGATTTTCAAAATAAACAATTCAGAAATAGTAAGCATATGTCTGTGAGGAATTATCAAAAGCTAAAATTTTATTATATTTTCTGACTTTATGAAGTAGAATTTAATGAAAAAACTATTTTTCTTTTTTTGACTGCTATAAGGGTGTTTAAATAATGAAAAAGTATTTTAGGTATGCTCTTAAGTTGTATGTAAGAACTCCCATTAGATATACACTATAATCTATACACTATTGGTTTGCAATAAATTTCTTGATTTGAATTAATATTCCTGGAGAAAGTGATTATCTCCAGTTTTCACTGTTTCTAAGAATAGTTTAGTGATCATTGTGTCTTTAATAATATATCCTATGATGCATGTGGTTAAAATTTTGCATAGTGGTTTTTATACATTCAAAAATGACAACAAAATTATCCTTAAAGATTTTATCTTGATTTATTCTTAAATGAAATAATTTTTAATCACATACAGCAGAAATATCATTTTCATTGGCAACTTTTAGACAAAAATGAATAAGCAATGCTGCTATGTTATGCTTGCAAGAAGTGTAAATGGAAGCGAGCAAAATCCTTCCAAAAATGCAAACTTTTTAAAAAGCATATAGCAGGTTCAGTAAAAATGGGCAATAAAATGGGTATCCAAGTTTTTCTGTATCAACATCCTGGTATACAGGTCGGGCAGGTAAAATGGGTATACTAAAATCAATAAAGTGAAAAATGTAGAAACACGTCTTTAAAACAATTAACGTGGATAAGAATTTCTTTTCATTTGCATGTGCACATGATAAATTTCGTAAGCTTGGCCTTTGTTTTGCACAAACCAGCATATGTCTTTCTTTTTCCTGCATCGGTGTGAACAGAGCCCAGACGGCCGTATTGAAGTCAAAGGGCAGCACGGAAGCTCATCCTTACACATTAAAGACGTGAGGCTGTCAGACTCAGGGAGATACGACTGCGAAGCTGCCAGTAGAATTGGAGGGCACCAAAAGAGCATGTACCTTGATATTGAATGTAAGTTCTTTTCAATACATACACTTTTTTCCTCTTTGAAAAAGTGAATTTTATAACAATAAAAAAATGTATATGTAGTTCATATTTCACAGTTTAAACGGCTTTAGAATATAATCATTCAAAGTCAGTTATTAGTGAAATCTAGTGGATATAATGGAGATTTCACAGGACTTTAAAATTAATAATCCGTCCTGAAATCAGTGACTTTCTTTTTTTTTAATTCCACCATAAACACAGCAGCAGTTGGACTACTGGTTTTCAACCTGTTAAAGTGTGTTTTCAAATAATATAACATGAATTTGTGCCTCAGATATTCAGTAATTGTTTTCATTTCTATTCAATTTTTTAGAGGAATAATGTTACAACCTTATGATATACAATACTATTGCAAATATTATATATATCTAAATATTTATATATATTTCAATTGTGTATATTGTCTACTCAGAATATGTTACAAGGAACTTGTTAAAATAAATATTTTAAATTTTCCTGAAGTATATGCTATAGGGAAGTAAGAAGCTTAAATATAAATTTGTCATTTTGTAATATTTCAAAGTAATTTGATAAATACGTTCTTCTAAAAGAAGAAATTTAACAACATTCTCAACACATATTTATGAATCGTCAAAAATAGAAGGTTAGAGCCTTTCTGATGGTTCAAGAAACATAGCTGTTTTTTGGGGGTGGGGGATCAGTCTCTGGACTTCACGCTTGCCAGGCAGGTGCTGTGCCACTGAGCTCAATCTGCAGCTCCAAAACAGCTCTTAATGGGAAAGTATGATTTAGTCTTATTGAAAAACATTTCTACTAGAGCATCTCTATTAATATTGATTGGAACTGACATAAATGAACTACATTATTTTACATATTTATAATCTGTTATGCTACTTTTAAGAAACTCACTTTATTGCCATCAAATGTTCTAAAATACAAACAAAAACCTTGATATTATAAAGAATGCACGACATAGGAAGTAATCCTAATAACTTACTAAATGTATGTATTTTTTCCCTAAAGCAGTTTTATTTTCACATCACTGGTATATTTCTTTTATGTTTTAACAACTTTGTAGGCACATTGAAAACATTTCTCAAATATGTAACACATTTGTTTATACTTTATAGTTTGAAATTATATATTTGGAATAAAATTTAATTTATGAACTGTTTCCTTTCCTTTAGAATCTAAATGATGGGCTGGGGATTTAGCTCAGTGACACAGCGCTTGCCTGGCAAGTGCAGGGTC